CCGTGTGATAGTCGCCAAGATTTTGGAGCTGAATACGGAAACAGAAAAGCAAGTGAACAGAGAGTTTGAAGCTCTTCGTTCGTTGAGACACGAGAGGATAGCGATGTTAGAGGCAGCGTACAAAGCACAAGGTTCTCCGATTGCACTATTCATCTTGGAAAAGCTTCAGGGAGCTGATATTCTCACATATTTCTCGAGTAGACATGAATATACAGAAAATTGCGTAGCAGTTGCTATGACCCAAATTCTGGATGGTTTGCAGTACCTTCACTGGCGAAGATATTGTCATCTTGACATTCAGCCTGACAACATAGTGATGTCTAATGTCAGATCGGTCCAAGTCAAACTTGTTGATATGGGTTCTGCTCGACTCGTTAGTAAGTTGGGTACAACTGTACCGAAAGCTGGTCATCCAGAGTATAGAGCACCCGAGGTATACAATGAGGAACCGGCTCATCCTCAGACAGACGTTTGGATGGTCGGTGTACTAATGTATGTACTCCTATCTGGTATTTCACCGTTTCGTGGCAAGGATCCTGATGAGACCAGACAAAATATTCTGTTTGTGAGATACAGATTCGAACATCTGTATAAAGAGTTAAGTCAGGAGGCTACTAGGTTCCTTATGTTGGTTTTTAAACGGGCACCCAGGTTTGTATTCTCTATTTTAATATTACTACATCTATCGGAGTTTTTATATGTTTTGTTTTTATTTTAGTAAAAGACCATTGGTAGAAGAATGCCACGAGCACAGATGGCTACAACTATCGGAATTTATGATTAGGAAACGCGAGAGAGCAGTGTTCTTAGGTAACAGACTGAAAGAGTATAACGAAGAGTACCACGAAGAGAAGTCGAAAATAGCATCTGAGAACCAAAGCCTGGCAAGTGAAAGCTTGTTAGGTTCCACTCAAAAACTCATTAGATCGACCAGCATACAAGAAGAGCTGCTCACCACGTTCTAACGAATAAGATATTATTAAGCAATGATTTTCCAATTTTCTTTATGTGACTGTAAAATTTCATGCACGCATCTAGTCAGTTTCTTAAAGAACAAGGAAAAGCAACTAAAAAAAGAAGAGGATAGTATCGAAATATAAGAATCTTCCTTCCTTGTTCTCTTTTTTGTTATTATTTATTTGTTACGTTTAATTATTTTAACGAAATATTACCATCATATCGTTACTCCTAAGATCTATGAGTAAGAAAGAATCGACCGATCGATATTTGAATATAACGTAAGATAAAATCACGTTTTAACGAATCAAGGTACAAACCTTTAAAATTGTACAAAAATGATGATTATATTCTAATAAAATCACCAATAAATGCTAAATAATTAAAGAAAGCTTTATTATTAAATATTGACTTTATTTACAAATTATGGTCTTTCATCATTACAATGCTCTATAAAAAGGATAAGTATATTGTACACATGACATGTTCTCCATTCTCACTCTCTGTACCATTAATTACACAAATTTAACTGCAATGAAGTATCATAACATTCAAAAGCTGCATATAATTAACAGATTCAAATATAAACAAAACAATCTCCCTAGAATAAGAAGAGTAGTACTGAATGATAGTTAAATACAAATTAATCGATATCAAATTAAAAGAACACTTTTAAATCAAACTCGAACTTTCCACCAAAATAAAATGCTAATTCCATAAACGTACAGTGTCACTGTTATAACATTACCCACTGATCTGAATCATCTTTTTGCATATTGCATAACATAATCTTTAACCTTATTTCGAAAGGATTCCTTATCTTTTACAAATAGATCAGCTGCTTCTCTGTTTAAAGGATCATCAAAATTTAGAAGATCCTGCAGAAGGATATGATTAATTAATATAATCACAGAAACATTTTAAGTAGAATTTTTAAAGACTTACTGTGAAAAGTGAATTCAAACCCCATACAACATCTTTAAGTTTACGAGTCGGTGCCCATCCCATTTCATCTATACTACTCTGCCTTAAAATTGAAAGACATACGTTACCATCCTCATTTATATTAGGATGCCACAATTTTGTTAGGCATTTAACTTTTGGTGGCTAAAATAATTTTGTTAATATCAGACTGATCACAAATACCTATATATAAGTTTTAATGGTGATACACTTACAGCCATATTATATTCTTCAGGTATATAAACTTGGAAATGAAATCTACCTCCAACCCAATATCCTTCATCAGGAACAATCAAGAGACTAAACTCATATAGACAATCAGGATCTTGAAATTTCACCTGACATGTACTAGGTAATGTTTGCTGCATTTCTTGAACCTAAATGAATGAAAAAATTAAAACAGCTAGTTATAATTTTTTTCCTAATTTCAAAACAATTTCATACATTCTTATCTCATTATACCTCTTTTATTAATAGCTTATCACGGACAGAAACGCGTTTATTATATTCTCTGTTTTTTGAGTTTGATATATCACTATCCTTCTTCAATTTTCCTCTCAAGGTAATCATATTTTTAACAATTCTGAAAGGAATAATAATTTCACAAACGATGAAACGTACTAAAAATTGGAAAAAGAATTAAGAAAAACACAATCCAACACAGTGACAATTCCATTAATCATTTAAGAACAATTGAGGCATTATTCGTATTTATTTGATAACCCCATTTTGATAAATATCAAAGACAAATAAATATTTTAGTAGTTTCAAAGGCTGTTAATTTGTCACTTTACGACATATTATATCCAGAATATTTTTCATATAAGATTAAAAAGTTATATTGTCAAATACCGCTTATGACATTTATTATGGAACAACACGATTTCAAGGTTAGAACTATCGAATAGAGTTCTTTAGTTGGTTTTATTAAACTGTACCTTAGACTATAAATATGGCAATATGGTAATATACGTTTATAATTAACTCAGTGGATCTGCATTTTGTTAATTTTCATCTCAAAACTCTCCCACTATCAAACATTTAAAAGCAAACGGTAAATATTTAAGCGTACTCAAAGTCTAAATCTTGTACTGTAGATGGCAATACTGTTTTTGGTTTTATGTCGGAAGTTTGTTTATAATATAGCAAGATCTAATTGTTGTTTTATGGACAACTTTTATTGAAAAGATTTTTGCTTTTATTGAAACAGATATATATAAAATATAAATTATTAGTGAAGTTTTTATTTATTTACAAATATTTGCAGTGTATAGCGTTCATAATCTACCTAAATATAATAGATCTTACATAATCTTTTATATAAAATGTGAAACGTACACGATGATTGAACAATCAAGAAAAATTTTATGTAAAATGATACTTAATCGTATGCATCGCCACTCAATACGGAGAAAGAAAACAATTTTTATAATTGAAAATTTTATATTACATACATACCTTTGTATTTGTACATTTTTATACAAAATTTTATACATAAAATGCTACCTAAATATAACTATTTCTTTTATGCAAATGCATGCCACGTTTGTAAAAAATTTGGGGGAAAAATCTCTTTAAAAAGATGTGGTAATTGCACTATGATCTCTTATTGTTCCAAGGAACACCAAAAAATGCATTGGTCGCAACATAAAGATTTATGCAACGCAATATGCAATATTTTAAAGGACAATCAACTATCAACCTTTTTAAATATTCAACAGAATGTTGATATAAAAGCTTGGACTCAAATGAAAATGAATTTCATGTTACTAGTAGCAATAAAGGTTGGTAGAAAATTAGAGCATTATGAAGAGCAAATGTTCAAATTTCTTAGATTATGTGTTGTGTGTCATGATCAAAATATAAGAGTTCTTGAAGATTGCCCTAATTGTCCAAATACTAGTTTTTGCACAAAGCACAAAGATGATATTGTACATAAAAGATATTGTGATCTGATAAAGTTATGTTTTAATTTAGATGTAATCTCAATAACACATGAGAGAAAGATACCAAAAATGAGAATACCATATCATATAAATCATGTAAATTTACCAAAAAACATGAAAGATTTTATAGATTCTTACATTGAACCATGGAAGAATTCACATATGTCAATAGTAGAGGAAACAATGATTAATTCAGAATATCTTTCACGACCTTTAACATTTCTTTACGCAATGCAAAAATTGCGATATCTTTTGAATGGTAATAGTTTCGTTGTTCATATTATTGCAGCCAATATGATAGACATTGATAGTATAGAACTTTGGGAAATTCTCTTACACTGGTTACCATGCATTACAACAGTACAAATTTTTCTAATAGGACCTGAATTATCTATAGATTCCGTATCAGTGAATCTGTGTAAGGATTGTCAATATGATAATAAACAACTTTTAATTCAAATATGTAGTATGCTTTATGAGAATTATACAAATGATGATTCATATGTGAAACCAGATTTTATTGTTGGATATAATGCAGGAATACATGAATGTGAAGATTTTAGATCTGAAAACTATTCATGGAGACAATCTTTAGAGATAGTAGCTGAACAAAATTGCCCATTGATTCTAACATCTTATACTTCAACAGAAGCAGAAAAAGAACAAATCAGACTCAATGAAGTTTTAAACAATCATGTAAAGTATACATATTTTGAACAGAATCCATTTTCTAGTTTAAGACCATACAGAGATTTTGAAAATGAAGGAATATATTACCAAAACCAATACATAATCATTTATGAAAATTTAAATAGCTACAGTAATCGATATTTCTAGGTTAAATTTGTAATTGATATTATAGGATGTATTTTATACTTAATTTGATATATTTACATCATTGTTTGTATGAATTTATTGTTAAATAAATGTGTAATACTATTTGTAAAACGAGCATTTTTTTAAAGAAAAGTTATTATTTTAGAAATGTTATTAAAATATTTTGATAACTTCATTAATTAGCTTTTGTTTTCTTCACATTTACTTTTTTAGTTTTATAACTGATTAATTTTTCCTGCAATATAGTTTTGATTCTAAGAAAACAATTTCAGAGTGATAAGATAGCCAATCAACCACCCAGCCACATTCGCGTATATTGTAATTGTAGATGACATATTCAGAAATACTTGTTCCTATTGTTAGAATTTTCAGAAGTATCCTTTTCTGTTATGAAGAATATTTCGGAGGTATAACTACTTGTATCATCGTGTGATTCACATAAGTTTTTTGATATATTAATAATAATGGCAGAAATTGAATGGCCATGGCAATACAGTTTTCCTCCTTTTTTTACGTGAGTATTAATAGGTTATGTTGATCATCTATTTTAAACTATGATTTATGTACATACATAAGCATAGCTTCTGACATTCTATATATTTAAATATTTGATGAAAACTTTCAGACTTCAGCCTCATTCAGATACTAGAGCTAAACAATTAGCAGCATGGAAAAGCTTAATCCTAGAATACTATCGTATAACAAAACAGTCTATTATAGATATAAGAGAAGTGCATTCAAGCCCGTTATTTAATAATACTGCAATTAATCGTATCCTTTTTACAATAACAATGATTGAGTAAAATGATAAACTCATTACTTGCCTACAAATTTATTCCTTAATATATGAAACAGGCAAATTACCATCAGAGGCTATCTTATTGGTATTGGAAGAATTAGCAAGATCGGGGAATGCAAGCCCATTAGATAAGACAAGACAAAGGTGGCTAATTTATTGGCATACTTTGGAAGAATGGGGTGAAATTATTTATAACTGGGCACAAGAGAATGGATTTGTCGGTTCCGTATGTACTTTATTTGAGTTAACACAAGGAGAAGATACAACAAATCAGGGTATGTACTTTTATAAAAGTTGTATTTCAGGAAGATAAGAAAAATTATGATGTAAAACAAATGCTTCCTGTTTTTAGAATTTTATGGACTTGATACAGAAGTATTAATCAGAGCACTTAAAACACTGGAAGGAAATAAGAAAGCAGAATTAATTTTATTTGATGATAATCAAGGTGTTAAGTTCTTTTAGACACATAATTGTACAAAAGAATTGCTTTGTAAATGTAAATACAAATCTTCGCTATTTTCAAGGTATATATATGTTTATGATTAAACAATCTTTTTTAAAGATATAATTAAACAAATTTTAAAGGAATTCATATAACTTAAGAACATGAAACTATAGAAAGAATTCATAATGTATATTTTCAAATATGATTGGAAGAAATTATTCCTAAGATTATATTAATAAAATCTAAATTAATAAATATTATGTATGTACAGAAGTGAAGCAGTATTAAATATAATTTTTATATTAGTTGTATTCTATAAATCTGTGGAATGTTTTAATATAATGGAATATATAATATTTAAAATTTGACATAGAAGAGTAATTGCAATAAAATATTTTTTTTAAATAAGAAAAACTATGTATTTTTAATACATTTATGGACATAAATAAATCAAGGTTTGATCTTTTAAAGTACATTAATACTCGATCACTTTTTTTTGTTAAGTATGCAACAGTAACAATCTTTTTAAGTATCTAACAGCATTCTTGTGATTAAAATACTTTGTAATTACATAATTATGTGTAGATTATCATATAAATTAAAATTAGAGTCAACATGAATATACATTAGTACAAATTATTGACTATAAAGTATATAAAAAATATTATGAACACAGTAAAATTGTGTTCATATAATATCATGGCGAATTTGTAACAAGAAAACTAAAAAATTATGCATCTGCTTTCCTCACTCTGGCTAATTCGATTGTTTCCTCCTGAAGATTTGCACTTGCTTCAAGATCTTTTTTACTTAAATGTTCAATAACACAAGCTCCGAGTGCATCGCATATGACGTTTATTGTGGTTCGGAAACGATCCCTATAGGCGAATTTAACAATTATTTAAAATGTAAAAAATTTTAATTTGATTAATAATTATGCCAAAGGGGATAACTTACAGGAGCCAATCTACTGCAATGATAAGTGTTACATCTTCAGCAGGCAATCCTACAGTATCTAACACCATAACCATTGTAACAAGACCAGCTTGTGGAATGCCAGCAGCTCCAATACTGGCTGCAGTTGCTGTTATACTACAAAAGTATATCAAACCATCAAAGTTGTTAAGATTTTAAGCTTAAGTTTCAAAGTTCAATTCATTTAATTCAACAATTACCTAACACCAATAACATTGCCGAGAGTCAATGGAATTCTCCTGACTTGAGCTATAAAAATTGCAGCAACAGCTTCGTATAATGCAGTCCCATCCATATTAATGGTAGCACCAATTGGAACAACAAATCTTGTAATTCTCTGGTCTACACCTATATTATCCAAACACTGTATTGTTACTGGCAATGTGGCAGTGCTGTACTCACAGAAATAAATTATTTATAAATCCCAAACTTTTACTGACACGTTTTCTAGAATGAATTAATTCATATAATTCACCTTGATGAGGTACCAAATGCTGTAGCTAAAACTTGAGTCATCTTGCCTATGAGTTTAAATGGCAACTGCTTTGTGCAAATGAAGAATATAACAGAAAGTGTTACACAACCATGAATAATCAAACCTAATAATACTGTAATGAAATATAAACTTAATTGTCCAGCAATAGCACCAATATCCTGAATTTCTAAAAGCTTTGAAGTAACAAGAAAGAACACACCAATTGGAGATGTCCTATAAAAAAATAAAACTTTTTGCATGACTTAAATTAATTAAATAAATAATTTGTTATGTCATTTGCTTACCATATGACCCATTTAGTAATAAGCATTGTTGCTTCAGATAAAGCGTCAAAAAAAGATAAGAGAATTTTTCCTTGTTCACCCATTTTACTAAGAGCTATTCCTAACACAATTCCAAATACAACCAACCCCAAAGTATTCATACCATCTCCATATTTATGACTTATGTCCCAATCTTGTATGTTGTTTACTGGAAAAAATATTAATTGTTTATAAAATACATTAATATAATCACAATTATAAACAAATTTAATTTAAATGTAATATTTACCCCCTGTTTTATTTTTGGGCTCTATCAGTACTGTGCGGTACTAAAGCACAATATTAATTAATTAAAATTTTTATTATACAATATTAATCAATAATGTTTATAGGAAAATTAATATACCTGAGCAATACAAGCCTGTACAAGATTCGGCGGAAACACATTCCTAAAAATAAAATTTCGTAAAAAAAATCGAAACTTATTGTAATACAAATGTAATATTTATTGCTATACCTGATTAAATCTAATATTGTGTCTGTAGTTGTAATATCTCTAGTTGGCGCTACATTATCCTTTGCGATCATACCATGTGTACTGTATTCTCCAGGTCTAATAATTAAGACCAAAATTATACCAAGAATTACAGCAGATATTGTCGTTGATGCATAATAGTAAATTGATCTTATACCAATCTTTCCTGTAAATTAAATACATTTCAAAATTTTTATTTCGTTCCTTTAATGATATACTAGGATTAATATGTAATAGTATTTCGCAAAACGTGGATGCTGGAATTGTTACTGTGAGATAACAAATCATCATTTTCAATCGTTTAAACAACGAAAAACAGAATATTAACGGAAAAATGCTGATTCGAGAGAGAGAGAGAGAGTATCTATTATTGTTCTTTTTTATATAATTATTAGGTCATTAATGCTTCTAAATTAATAATTTAAAAAGATAGAACATCTGTTATCGGAATTGTTTTTTCTCTGACTAAGCTAAATCACACCAGAAAATACCGGTAATCTGTGTTTTACCAAACCAGGCATCTTCACGTAAACAAGTTTGTACACCCACGCAATCCATTCGTCACAGACGATTATCTGCAAAAAGTATACACATGTTTTTTTAATTACCAGATAAATTAAGATCTAATCCGCCGATTGCGCTAACGATGCTAGCAATGATTAGTGGTAATATAAGTGCTTTGAGCATTCGAAGAAATATGTCTCCCGGAAATTGAATATACATAACTTCGCGCTTTGTCCATGGTTCGTCTCTGACATTTCTTAAGATAAAACCGAAAATCGTACCCGCCACTACAGCGGCTACTGTAAGCATTGTCAGCATGTTTTCTGACATACAACTTCTCCATTTTTTTGGATGAGCCATATCGTCTTTTTTCCTAAAAAAAGCAACAATATTTTTAGTATTACTTAATATAGCGCGGAATCGATGTAAATTTGCGTCTTGACTAAAATTAACATAACATTTCTCAGAAATATATTACATGAGTCGTTCTAGTAATATGATAATAAGATATTGCTTCAGACAGTTATATATATATAATTATATATATAGTATATGTATGAAAGAGATAGCACCCTAATTACTCTACTATCTTTTTATGCCAGCCTGTCGAAATGTAATGTCGTTCTTATAACAGTAAACATATTAAAATATTTGCACATGTGTGGAAGACCGTGATAAGACTGACATGTGGGAGTGAAATAATGGATAAATATAAGATACTATAGAGCGTTCCAGATTTAAACGTTGGTTGAGATTCATGAACAATTAATGCAGGTAAATATAGACTAATTAATTTTATATTACTAAACGTCTCTAAACATGGTAGTGGTCTGTGCCCCTATTACTATACTATCATAAATTACGCTTTTATCTTGCGGCAGGTATTGTTCTATAATGCAATTACCTTATTTACGTTTTCCATCAATTTTGTTGGTTGCAAATAATCAATTTCTTGAACTTTTTAATTCATAATTTGGCTTATTTAAAATTACATATAAGTTTTATGTATCTTCAATTTTATATGCTGTGTACATTCAGACTTAATTCGAGTAAATTAAAATATTTTTATAACTTTCCGTTACATTAAACTTTTTTATTATCGATAAAATATATTAAGCAATAATTGAAACCGATATTATCAGGGTATTTGTAACATGTTCTTGATCGTAAGTCTAGCAAAATATTCTATAGATGGAATGTATACACAAAACGTATACTTATCCATATAATTACAAAAGTGAACAGAAAAACAGTCCTTAAGGCATGCTACAAGACTCATTGATCCTGCATTCTAATCATCATGTTAGATGATGCATAATATAACTTATTATATAACACAAACGATATGAAATATTTATAAATGTTAATTGTTCATTTAAATATTGCCCGCGACACCCATCGTGCAAGCATACCCATCATCTGACAGCACCAATTAACCCTACAGTACATGGTGTTAAGTTCATGTTTATTCCCTAATTCCGCAGCATCCGGTATCAAATATTCTTATCATAAAAAACGGTATGGCGTAATTAAATCTATCCAAATTTATTATAAAAGATGCATACATGTTTTCATCAGGAATCTTCGATCAATTAATATTAAACTGATAAGATTAATTAATGAATAAAAATATAAATTAAAACTACAAATTTTCTCGTCATCGTGCTATGTATACATATATGTATGTATGTATATCTCGCAGAAACTGGTATTAACCGGTTTAAACTGTCCTGGAAATCTGCCTTTACGTTCCATCCACTAATAAAATTGTATACTGCAGAAAAATTTGTCATTATTTTTCTTCATGCGCGGTAGAAGTTTTCACACTGATTTCACGAATATGAAAAAGGGAAAAAGAAAAATAAGAGAGACGTAACCGAAATTGATCTCGTGTTGACATAATTATTAAGTAAGATAGAAGATTCGATTTATATGCGCTCCGGGCGAGGGCAAATGAAAGTAGACGATAGGAACCAAATACACGTGCCATTCTTGTTTGAACCGCACATGGCGATAGTAACCGTACGATGAAGAACGCGCGGTGTTCTAAAAATTTGAAACACGCTTGATATATTATTCATCAAATGAACAAAGAAGCATGGTAATTATGGATTTACTGTGCGAAGCGCGTATCTATGAGTAAGTCTAAATAAAGATATTCAATGCACAGATAACACTGGTGTCACATGTCTAGAAGAAAAGAAAAAATTACATGCGTGGAAAATCGTAATTTCAAGTGTTTGTTTGTCATTTCAAGATAGTAATGACTAAAGAATTTCTTTTTTAGCTTTTTGCAGACTTTTATAAAGGCACAGTTTTCCTTGATTTATAACTGTTTAAAGATACATATATCTTTCTCGATATACAATACATCTTAAAACAATGCCGAAATCAAACATTTTCCGGCCATATTTTTGAGCGTTCAATTACTATTTCTCTATTGTGTACGTGGATTGACTATTGTGGAGACAAGATGCGCATTGTATCAAATCATTCGACTCTTTTTACTAGCACAATAGATACATCTAACGATACGCAATGAGAAAAGTCGTAAGTGTTATGTAGATCATAATTACAGTCGGGGCAAAGATGAGCGCAACGAGACACGACTTTATTTACCCTTTGATTCCTGTCACATTGTTTAGACGTTTACCTCCTATATCACTGTTAAAAAAGTAAATTTAAATTATCGCTATCAGGTTTCTATAAAACTACCATGTCATTCAACTACAACGGCTTTCAACCTCGAATGCTTTCATTTCCCTAAGAATGATATATCTCGTATATTTTATAAATATTCGCTTTGGGTATTTATAAAAAAAAAATTGACTTACCCGATAAATTAGTTCTATTCACGATTGTGGTCGTCGATAGAAGAAACTGCGTGCGCGGCAATGCGATCGAATCACGTTGCGCGCGTGCTAATTTTTTAATCGGGATGCTGATCACGCTTCGATTTAGAGTACACGAAATGTTGTTCTTCCCGCGAGCGCGATCGTCGTACTATCGGTACGCTCTGTTCTCGTGGACTGTCGGCGACGGCGACCGGCCCATGAGAACAGAGCCCTTCGTATCGTACGGAATAGTACGGATGCAACCATGTGTGCGTCAGAAATCAACTATCTCTTTCCCTCTCCATCACCCTTTGCTTTTGATATTCCACCTCTCTCTCTCTCTCTCTCTATCTTTTTCTCTTTCTCTGTGCCTCGGCATCCTTTTGCCCCCTTTCACCGAACTCCGACTACACTATCCTCCCTCTTCGTCGTTTTTCTTACGTACCTTCACCATATAGCCGGAGATCCTACGATGTTGCACGCGCGCAAACATACACGCGGTTTGCGAAACCGCGTGTGCCTCAATCGACACATACATTCGAAACTTGAATGAATGGTTATACCTTATATAGTAGACAGTTCGGTAATTGGCACACGTACAAGTCAAACCATAATTATTACGAAATACATATCGTATATTTTTGGATGAAACTGTTAATAAAAAAATGATATAGCGCTGGTATTTTGAATTTCAAAAAAATATATTATTACACATATTATAGCGCAATCTTTTTTTTATTTGATTCGCAGATATTATTTTTAGTTATTTGGTTTAATTATAAAAATGTAAATTAATTTTTTCTAATCTTGATGGATTTCGCTAATCGCTTGCTTCCTTGTTAGAAATGGTAACGAAATTATGTAATAAAAGTGAAACGAACTGTAGCACGCAATATACGTCAGTTCATAAACGATGATTTAATTAATGTAAAATTTACAAAAATTAGTGTGAGAATTACTTGACCGCTAGGGACGATGTTTGTATAATTGGATTGAGGTCAGTCACGTGATTGTGTTAATTATTCTGCCCCTCCTTTCTCGCATATTCGGCTAAATTTGTTTCACTTTTTGTCGCCCAAGAATACAAATGAAGAAACACATGTATCTTGTATCAACGCAACTTGGTTTGCATAATTCTTCGTTGAAAGTTAATTCTGATACAAATAATTACAATACATATCACATATTCGCGAATAAAGTTATTTAAGGAAAATAAAATTAAACTGACATGTATTTGTTACAAATGTTTATTTAAGAATGGACAAAGAGTATAGGTTTCATTTAATAAAAATAAGTGAATCATTTAATACTTAGATGTAAAAATTACTTTTCGGAAATACTGATAAAATGTTGCAAGAAATACATATAATTAGAGAGCAGCTTCTAGATAACATTATATGTAAACTAAGAGCAATACGTAATTCTGAATGATATAAAAAATTGTATGGCAAGATATGTAATGAATGCAGAATTTGATACTTAATTATTAATATTGGAATTCTAGATTAAAATCAATGCAACTGGTGAAAACTTAACATTTAAAGATACACTTTTCCACTATATCACTCTTGTTAAACATAAGGAATGATTATTCTAAACATGTAATACTAAAATATACCTTAATAGTTAGTACATTTGTATAAGGCACTTTAATCACAAAATGACAATTTTCTTTACTCAATAAATCCTTAACAGAATAACTAAATCTGCTACAGAACTATGATTTTCAGAAAAGAATCAGAATACTCAAATTTTACTTATTAAATGAAATACCAAGCTGTCATGGTAAATCCAAAATATAAGTACTATTTAAACTGTAATTAAGAACTAAGGGATTTTATAGACATATATACACAATTCTCTTGTTAATTTTTTGGAATGACACATTAAAAGGAAAAATTAAAACAATGAATTACATTATTTCCACAAAGAATTTAGAAAGAACAAAATTGTTACTCTGTCTCAGTGAATTTTAAATATAAATTTATCAACTTAACATTGCATTTATATTGATTTTACAAGCCACTAGAATGATCAGCTGCTATAATTGAGTTGTTTTATGAATATTAACAATGATTTGGAGTATTATTTACAAATTGTTACAATGCTGTCAGTACAATCAATTTTCTGGTGGTGGAGATGTTATTTTCCTTTTAAAGAGTAAAATATGAGGTTCTGAAACACAAGTATTTACCAATTAAAATACTTCTACTAATCTTCTATTAAAAATTTATTTTGTAAATACAATTTAAAATAAAGAACAGGGGATAATAATAAAATTTGAATAGTATATAATAAAGAATTCAACCAGTTGACATACCTGGCTTATGAATCATATAATGAACCCATCCTTGACTTTGTTGAACACCAATAGCTCTCCACTCTTGTTCCGAGAGGAGATGAGTAGTTGGAACCAATTTAATCATTTCTTTTGGTAGTACTACATGCCTAATAAAAGAACCATAAGTAATATATACATACATCCATATATGTATTACCAATAATCTTATGTTTTTATTTATACACTGTTTTTAAAATGGTGGATTTTAATAAACAAAATAGTAGTGCAAAAGAAATTTGTAACATACTGTAAAATGTGGCAATTAGAAAGTACTTTTTTAAGTAAAAATATACATATTTCAATAAGAAAGATCATGAAATTTGCATGATTGTATTAACATTTTATAATATTCTATCTTTCTTTTCATCTCTCCATCCCAATTTCAATATTGTTTAAGAGTGGATAGGCTACTAAGCAAACAAAAGAACGTGCCAGACGGCCATTTAAATGATACGTTACCTCTGCATCCAAAAATTAGACAAAGAAGTTACGGAATTAGGTATATAAAATACAACGAAATGAATACATTCCTCATTATAAGAAAATTTTCGAATGATATCATTAAGAAAATATCAATATGAATATATAATAAGAAAGTGTATACTTGTACATATAGCAAAACGATTCAAAATGGCACATTTGGCCAAAATCGAAATCTAAATGAGACATTATAATATGCTGCTGTTATTTATACCAACCTATATTCGTATTTATCATCGTAGTATTTATCTGAATAATACATCTTGTTCGACATCTTGATTCAATCAGAATTATCACAAATGCTCGAGGCAATTCACCAGTAAACACTATAAAACGCAGCCGAGTGTTTTCGAAAACCTTCCTTCTACAACGTATACCCACAAATTTGAAAGTTAACGGATGTAACATCAAGAAGAGTGGAAGAAAGCTACTCCCTAGTCATTGACAGTTCATTAAAAAATGATTATATGAAAAAAATAGAAACAATAATCGAATAATTTTTATCAACTCATTATGCTTTTATGAAATTATAAAGATATTTAATATTTATTGTGTATTTTTGTTTCATTAAATATAAACGGAAATTTATACACGTAGTAAATAGGAATCAGCTGTCCTAAATTCAATGATGGCGTTCAATGCCCTCAGTACATTGAGAAAATATATTTCGTGAGGTTAAGGTAGTAATGTCAAATAATATTAACATTTTGTGAAAATATACGATATTCATATTTTTATTAAAAATGGAGAAGTATTCTCATAGAAAAGGCCGTGAAGGATCAAAAAAGGACGATACGAATCGATATAAATATAAAGGTAGAATTTCTCGTAAGGACAGTGACAGTGACTATGATAGCCATTCTAAAAGATCAAAGTCGAGACATAAACACTCTAAAAGCTGTAGTCAAAAATATAAAAAATGTAGATACAGAGATTCTTCAGAATCACGCGAATCTCGTAAAAAATCCTCGAAACATAAAAGCAGAAGAAGGTTAGTAAACACTTTCAAATGATCACTTTTGAGGTTATGGATTAAAAGTTTATTATTTTCTAATTTTCTTTCATTTTAGATCATCATCTTCGTCATCTTCATCAAGTCCAAGTGATTCTAGCGATTCATCCTCATCTAATTCTTCATCAGATTCTACGAAGCTTTTAGAAAAGCTTCAGAAACAGCGCCAAAAACAAATCGAAGACAAGAAACGTCAAAAGGAATTGATGAAAGCTACAGAAACACCAGAGGAAAAAAGATTACGGCGTTTAAAAAAGAAGGAAGCTAAAGAACGTAAAAGAAAAGAAAGAATGGGCTGGGATAATGATTATTTACATTATACAAATACAGATAATCCATTTGGTGATGGAAATTTACTTTCCACATTCGTATGGTCTAAAAAACTTGAAAAAGAAGGTTTACTTGGTGTAAGTAGGGAAGAACTAGAAATTAGGAATAGACATAAACAAGAAGAAAATAAAAGAGAATTAGAAAAAGTTAAGAAAAGAAGACAGGAGAGAGAATTGGAAAGACAACAAAGAGAAGAAGAGATGACAATGCTCCAAAGAGGAAAAGAAGCTGCTCAATTGGAACAATGGGCAAGACAGGAAGATCAGTTTCATTTAGAGCAGGCAAGATTAAGATCACGTATAAGAATACAAGATGGTCGTGCAAAACCAATTGATCTTCTTGCCAAATATATCAGTGCAGAGGAAGAAGTTGATGCTGTAGAAATGCATGAACCTTACACTTACTTACGTGGATTACATGTGAAGGATTTAGAAGATCTCATTGAAGATATTAAAGTTTATAAAGAATTAGAACGTGGAAAAAATTTAGATTATTGGAATGACATTACAGTAATTGTTGAAGATGAACTGCATAAATTGAGAAAATTAGAGAGATCAGAGTATGAAGTTGGTAGGTACATTTTTTTTGCTTGTACAGGTGAAATTTTGTTTTTATAGTTTTTACAAATTTACTGTATTTTTCCAGCTGTGGGTAGAAGAGAAGGAATACATGAATCAGTCGCTAAAGATGTGACTGCTATTTTTAAAGGAAAAACAGCAGCACAATTAGAAGCTTTGCAACTACAGATTGAAGCAAAAATTACAGGAAAGCCTGAAGGCGTTGATATAGGATATTGGGAAAGTCTTTTGTCTCAACTTAAAGGTAAGCGTTAAAAGTTACCTACGTATACTTTGAATCATATTATTTAACTCGCTTGATTGTATCAGTCATTTATACTCCTCAGCACACATGGCAAGAGCACGATTAAGAGATCGGCATCAAGAAAATTTACGTAAAAAATTGGAAGTTTTGATTGCCGAACAAGGTGTAGCTAGAACGGAGAATGAAACCGAGAGTTTGCAACCAGTTGATGAGCAGCCAGAGAAACAAGAAGAACAAGCCGCTAATACAGTAACAGAAAAAAGTGAAGAAAGTCAATCAGAGTATGTAGTCTTTTTGTCACATGTACTCATATGAAAAATTCCAAATATACAAATGTTTTTTATATATTTGCAGTGATGATCAAGAGACTAATAATGCAGCTGATGATCTTTTGTCAGAATCTTTCTGTGAATATGAAACAGGAGGTTATTCTCCAAAATATATACCTTATTCTCAACTTGAACCAGGAACATTAGTAACTTTAGAAGAGGACGATAGTCAGCGGTTGGAATATGCAAGAAATCAAGTACTCAGTACAGGTCGGAAAATCCAGAATGTTATGACTGCAGAAGAACAAGCAATGCATAGAGAAGCACGTAAAAACATGAGTTCTGATGAAGCACAATTTAGTGTTGAGTCATCTTTAGAAGCACAGATCTATCTTTGGTCTGACAAGTATAGACCCAGAAAACCAAGATATTTCAATCGAGTTCATACTGGTTTCGAATGGAATAAATATAATCAAACCCATTATGATATGGATAATCCACCACCGAAAATCGTTCAAGGCTACAAATTTAATATATTTTATCCGGATTTAATAGATAAAAACACGACTCCTGAATATTTCTTGGTAAGATATATCGTTCAAATTAATTTTATTTTATTGCTGATGATCTGAATATTTTATTAACAAAAGTGTTATCATTTTCAGACACCCTGTGCAGATAATAAGGACTTTGCTATTTTACGATTTCATGCAGGCCCACCTTATGAAGATATTGCATTCAAAATCGTTAATAGAGAATGGGAATATTCATATAAACGTGGATTTAGGTGTCAATTCCACAATAATATTTTCCAATTATGGTTCCATTTCAAGCGATATAGATACAGACGATAATATATTAGTATCTTATATTTATATAATACGTACTACTATTGTAAATAGAAAATACATGCTTTCTATAAAATTCTATCAATTGCATACCCACATTTCTCATGGCGTATGTAGATGAATAAAATTGCACAACTTTCTATGCAAGACCAGTTACTTTCTTGGTATGTGAAACATACCCGCACGTTTTTAAATAAAACGTTGTTACAAAATTGAAAGTATTATCTAAATAGCGTTTCACTTTATCGTATAACATAGTTTAATAATCAATCCAGTAATATTAAAATTATATTCAAAATACATACAAACTAAGTGTCAATATAAAAACTATTTATAAAGAACATGAAAACCATTGACATATTAATAAGAAAAGAAGTACTCGTCTATTTGTGAAAAGATTCTTTATATACACCCACGTTTAAAATATCAATGTGGTAACAAACTTTCATCTGACGACGTGAACATACACAAACGAACAACGGCATAGTTGTTTAATAGTAGTTGTTAAATCGATTTTTGTAGCCACCTGTATTCTCACACAGTCGACCACAAAGCGAAAGGTAAAAGCTATATGTAACCAATGGCAAGGTAAACCGAAGCTCAGTACACCGGCTGTTTCGCTGACAAAGGGCTACGCGTTTAAAATCGCATTTCTAAAAGTCGTGCACGATTCAAATCAATACAATGAAGTTTCTTGATTGAATAAAACAAGATAAAATCCGCTTCGATGATCTTCACGAACTGGTCAATATAGAAATACATTTTTGTCGATCGTCTAAAAAAATGTTTATATTTTATTTGTACTTATTGCACAATATTTGAAAAGGAAGACATGTGTATTTATGGTTTATTTTAGAAATGCGTAATTTTCTCCTGTGCAGAGTCTCACTATTATGATAATTAGTACGTTCATGTGTATGTTTACTGCTACTGATTTTGTAGATCAATCTGAAAACGTGGAACTATCAACGTTGTGACTATACAATCTAGAACATTGACTAAGATCGTTTGTGTTTAAAATATCGCAATCGAGTTGATATTTATATACATAAATATATAAATATATCATTGGAACCATAATTAAATTTCTTTATGGGGATCGAAAAGAATTACAAAATAATTAAAAAGTGACAACATGAATATTTTGTTGGAACTTAAATTAAGTGAACTAATAGTGAGAAAGGACGATTTAATAGCCGAAGAAAAATTAGTTTGCAATCTCCATAACCATAAACGTCAGAGAGTCAGAAATTCTTACCAATAATCGATTGAAAGAATGATGAAAATTCAAGTGTGTCTTATTATGATCGATTATAATTTTTATTTATTTTAAAACACGATAAATTTATATAAAGATCTATTATGAAATTCTAAATACCAGTTTACTTCTAAAATATAAAAACGTTTTTTTATATCAGTGTTATCGAAATAGTACAAAATATTTCCAATTGATCGTGACGTTGTTTGTAAATTCAAAGTGATAATTCACTCCAATATCACGGCGTCGACCGCAAAAATCATGAAATGGAAAAGAAGCCCGGCGGAATTCTTATCCGAAAAAACTTTTCTAGTAATTAAGGATGACTTGGATATGCTGGATAGTAAGTAAAGTTTATTACATTTTTATTAAAAAGAAGAAAAATAAACGACATTGTATTTGTACTCTAATACTGCACTTACATATTACAATGAATTAGGAAATGGTAATGAAATTAAATAAGAGAATTAATCAATTAATTAACATCGAGAAACTGCATATGCTGTAGTAGTTAATGATTTGTTTCATATATAGACTTTCTTTTATGCAAATTGAGCCATAAAACTGCAAAAAACCCAGAATAAACGTAGGCGGTAATTTCTTCCAAATAATTAGCATTAGAAGTAGAGTGTTCTAATTCTGGCTATGGAAATGTATTTATTTTTTAAGCGGAATTATCCTTGAACCTTTACGTTGTATTTTATATCAATATTACGTATCATACTACATTATAGTTTCGACCAATCCATAGCCAGAGATTATTTTTTATACATAAGAAGAAATCAACATCCATTGATTTTTACCACTAATGTGAGTTCTTTGGTCGTTTAAAGCAATTATGTAGAGACTCCTATCTATCCAAACATCTAAGATGGAAAAAATTATTTAGAGCAACTATCTAGAGAATCCTTCCTATCCA